GGTCACCGTCGCAGAGCCAGAAGGCTGAAAGTCCCAGAGCTGTTTTGGCTCACTCTGCACTTCGCAAACCCCCCCCCCAGCCAGTGCGCCGAAGCATTCAGAGATCGCGCAACCATGCCTACACCTTTCGAGGCCGTCCACGCGGAGTCCGAGGAAGAGGCGAAGAACTCTCCACCGAGCTCCCGCAGTTGGATGAAGAAGGCTGCCTTGGTTCTGACGGTGGGCCTTGGCGTCGTGGGTTTCATGTCCATGCCGAAAGAAAGGCGCTTCTGTCAGGGATTGGACCTCGGCGCCTTCCAGGGGAAGTCCAACCTGGGCTTGGACGCCGAAATGGCTCTGAAAGCCGATGCACTGAAGAGTGTCAAGAAACACACCGCGGCGCAGAAGATCGTCCTCAAGGCAATGAAGAGCACTGGCCGAAAGTATTCCAAGCACTACGAGCAGCGTGAGGTTCGTTCTTTGCCGGCAGATCCTGCCGACGCTGCTCGAGACATGCTGACCAAGTCCGAGATCAAAACTTACAAGGCGACGAGGAAACAGAGACGCATCCGCAAGGCCACCAATGCGTACTGCGCATTCAACGTCTTGGAGGCCTTCGTCTCCGTGGTCGGCATGGGCGATGATATCAACGCAATCATCAGGACGTGCCCTGCTCCACGCGATGGTGAATCGGAGCTTGCTTGCCAGGTGAACGGCGCCATCTTGGTGACTTGGGTCGCCAACGCGGCAGCCAAGCTGTCGTATGCTGCTACGAACTGTGCGCTGAACCTCAACGTGGATGCTGTCTGCTCTGTGGGCGTCACCGGCCTCGTCTCCGTGATGGGCGAGCTGGCAGCCACTGCTTCCCTGGCGGCGGCCACGTGCACAGGGGTGCCACCACAATTGACCACCACCAAGATCAGCGTGCTCGGAGACCAGACGGTGCGTGATGGCCGACGACTTCTCATTGGACAGGGTCCAGTCGGAAACGGTGTGCAATGCGGGGTTGACGTCGGCATGGTGGTTGCTAACCTCGCCAACATGGGCATCTCCATCAACTCGGCTGTGAACAGTGGTCAATGCGGCCGCGTCAGCCTCAACGGGCCAATCAACAAGGTAGCCGGCTTAGTCGTCGCACTTGCACCA